TGGGCAAAGGGGATTCTAGAGTCAGAACGAGGTTTGAAACCCAGCTGCTTCATTATTAGCTGTGTGACCTTGGCCAAATTACTTAGCCTCTCTGAGCTTCAATACTCTCCTCAATAAAACGGGAGTAATTACACCTTTCACCAAGAGTTGTCAGGATTAAATGAGATAAATATACATAATGGGCTTGAACCAGAGCTGGTGCTCACAAATAACAGCCTTCTCTCCTTCCCCTCAGACTCTGGCATGGCATTAAATAGCCGGAGCAGTCCTGCAAATAGCCGGGTTTTCTAAACAGCACAATGTCCCAGTGTCCTGTTAGTACTGGATTCTCTTTAAGTGTCAAGTAAGGGCACTGTTGTGAAAGCCATAGACAAAATATTTTATACCAGGGTGGGGGAAGAGGGAGGGGGATGGGAAAGCATTATATTTTGACTCCCTTAGTGGGTAATTCTCAGGATTCAAGTGAGGTTGAGAGGAACTTTCCATGTTTTAAATATTCTATATCATGTAAGAATGAGGAGGAATCACTGATCAGTTAGGTTTAAAAGCTACTGAAATTTTCAAGAATCATTCAAATAAGGTACTTATAAATGCCCCTAAAGAGATGAGAATAACCTTCCACGTCAGCAGTACATGAGTTAAACATGTGGTTAATGATGATATAAAAAGAGGTGGTATGTGAAATATCAGTTCATGTGAGGCCACACTCAATAATAATTTATGTGATATCAATAATGTTTTAGTCTAGATGAACCTTCCCTATATATAAAACACTCCTAATTACTGTAAAACTGTTACTTTCCACTTACCATTGATCTTAAGGAAATGGCTAAAAATTTTTTGGACTGTGCTGACACAGCACTATTATTCTGGGTCATTATTCAGAGCAGGTGTCAATCTCTTTCACTTAATGTAAAGGCAGGAAAAAGAAGGAGTAGGTTCTTTCTGTTTAATCGAGGAGAGGAGAGGGGAGGGGAAAGGAGGGGAGAGGAGAGGAGTGAGAAGGGGAGGGAAAACACATTAAGATAAGTGCAACTTTCATAAGGATGTTAACACTTTCATATTCTTTGGGATAGGTGAAACGTATGATTTTCAGCCAGGTTCCAGAGAAAACATTACATCTTAGAAGAGAGAGAAACTTCGCTGGGGCCATAACTAGGGGTTTAACCACAAACCCAGCAGCATCTGTCCCATCACTACTGTTAAATCAGTTAAGAAAAGCCTTAAATGATGTAAGTAGAAGGGCGATGTAAGTAGAAGGGACAAGGACAGGTTTGCTCAGGGGATGTGTGTCTTTATGAGGCAGCTAGAGGGTCCTATTTTTTTAGTGTTGCAGGCAGCAGACTCTTCCTGTTTCCTCCTCAGCTTCCTCTCAGGTCGCTACCCATCTATGAATTTATTAAACCAGAGTCACTCAAAGTGGGGTCCCCGGGCACCTGCATCAGAATCACAAATGCAGAATCCTGGACCCAATGCCAGACCTTTGAACTGAAATTCCTGGGGAAGTCGGACCCAAGAGACTGATTTTAACAAGTTGTCCAAGTGCTTCTTATGCTACTAAGTTTGAGAACTTCTGTGGGAGCCTAGGAGACTTTTTTTTTTTATCTCCTCAGCACTCAGTAGACCTGCTAAACTTTGTTGAATGTTGGAGAAATGACTAGATCCAAAGAAAGAGGCTAAAGTATTTATCCCCATCTGAGGATTCCTGGAATGGTTCTACTCGGGCCTGATATTCAGTAGGTAAAACTAGTAAGGCTGTATATTTGTTAAAATATTAAAATTCTTCTAGAGAGGTTAGGAAATACCCAGTGCTCTGACCTCTGTGCTATCCACTGGCCCAGCAGTCCTGGCCTCTCCCTTACACTGCCCCATGATCCAGCAACTAAAGGGTTAACCACTTAGCAGGGGTCCCATCTATTCTCACTGGTCAGTACAGATGCCAGTCAGCCTCTCTATAAGTCCAGCCAATGTGGTGCCTTGGGAAAAGGAGCTTGTTCCTTGCCTGTGCCCCTACCTTGTGGAAGGGGGTGATGTAGATGTGGGAACATCTTAGAAGGGTGGTACCCCAGACAGTTTACCTTGACTCTAGTATAAGGGTGCCTGTCCTCACATGTCACCCAGGCCATACTGGGCTGAGTCCTAGTAAGTAAAATGGCATTTCTGGAGGTGGCGCTGGTACCCAGGGGGCAAATACCCCAGGTTATGGCCACCATCAGCTGAGATACTCCTAGAGATGCCCTTGCATGGCTGCTTCTTGGAATTGCACCATCCATGGGATCTTGGCTCTGAGAGATCTTAGAAGAGACTGGGTGAGCCCAAGGCATGCAGGAAATTAGAGCTTGCAAACACGAAGACTCTGTTGGCATGTTTTTACAGGTGAGAGCCTGCTTGGTACAGATGGTGCATGCAGGGGTTAGTGTCGGGCTGGGAGAGGTATAGGGAAACATACTTCTTTTCTTTATTTGGGCAAGTTTGCTAAAATCACCGAATGCCCTTCTATCATAGCATTAGCCACATTACTTTCATTAATAAAAATGAGGGCAAGCACTTACATAGCACAGTTCTTAACCCACTTATGTTACTATTATCACCACCATTCCTATTATGTAGATGAGGAGACTGAGACTCAGAGATTATTTAAAACTCAAGCAACAGAGCCGTGTTTTGAACTTAGGCAGCCTGACAGTAACCTACTGATTATCAAATAATTGGGGAAGTCATTGGAAAAGTTTCATGTGTATTTCAGACAGGAGCATTGTTTACCTAGTGACAGCATGTCAAACAAAAGGTTAGCAATAATTTTTAAAGATCAAGAAGTGGTTTGGGTAGTATTAGAAATTTATGAACTACTTGCATTAAAACTCCTATCTATGTGTTTATGTTTAGAGAATATTGGGGATTAAATGTTTTACGCTTATTTGTTGATTAACTACTTAAAGGCTTTTAAATATTTGATGATCACCTTGGCTTTGCTTATTCAATTTTCCATTCTATTCCTTTGGTCCTACTTGTCAGCTGATAATAAAAGGTAAACTCTCAGACTGAGCTCTGATATATTGAGCTGTATTCCTTTTCTGCTTCACATTTGGTCTTCCACTGTCTCACACTTTTTCTTTGAGGAACAAGGAGGTAGATACCTGCTTTATGTGGAAAATTCTGTCCTGGTAATTGAGTGGGAATGTGAGCAAGGGGGCTGTTCCTCAGTATATTGTTGCTTCCTTCTGTAAACCCAGGTAATTGAGCTGTCATATTTAAAGTTTTATTGGTTAAGATTCAAGTTAGGACGGGTGCCCTTCTTCTGCAAGTTCCTTCAGTGCTGTTTGTGGAAAAGAACAAATAGAAAACTCAGTGAAGTGTTCTGAATAAGGCTGTGAGAAACGAAGTCATTGGTCTCTATGGTCTCAAGGAACACTGAAGGGAAGGGAGTTGTTTAAACACTTAAAAATGGAAAGGAAATACAAATGCCAGCCTGTGGCTCTTCCATATATTATGTCAAAACCAGCTCAGAAGTATGTGACAATCCAGGCACAACATTACAGTTTTTAGCCAGTCCAGTCATGATTCTCTGGTGAACTGCACAGTCATGGTTATGATGCATTGGGATGAGAGGTGCTATATAAATGTCAAATGTTACATAAATGTCAGGAATAATTATTGTTAGTTAATGGGGCTTAACTGTTCCTAAGCAAAACTTCAACTTCCATCCTTAGCAGAAATTCTAACCATCAAAAACCCAGGAGCAGAGGGTTCTAGAAAGGAGCCCATTAGGGGTCTGGGGCTTAAAAACGGGTTGGGGTGGTACCAGGGCCTCCACTTGCTCAAGTGACTACAGGCAAGCCCCTCACCTCTTGGAGTCTGCCTCAGCTCACCTGTAAAATGGGGATAAACATAGCACTTGCCCCACTTCTTCTTGTGCTGGGTTGTTTTGCAAATCAAGGGAGTTCATGTGGGCGTGAGTGCTTTGCAAAGTGCGAGCTGCTGCAGGATGACAGGTCGTCTGGAATGGGCTGGCATTTAGCCTGTGCGAGACCCTGGAGTCCGCCTCACAGGGAGAACATAGAACATCTAAATGGAAATAAAGCTGGAAATGGTGGTGGTGACTGGCCGATGCTGAAAACGCCAGGCTCCTTCTCTCTGGAAGTTGTCAGGAAGATACCGCAGACCAGGCGCCCGGATCCTGCCTTCTGGCTCTGGCTCTGGCTCTGCCACTTGCCAATCTGTGGCTCTGGAAGTGATCGCCAAGGGCCGTTCCGGCTCTGACGCTGAATCTAAATCAGGCGCATCACTTGGCTCTAGCTGTGATTCACCTTTCGCCTCCAAAAGGAACTCTTCTTCCAGCTTCTCAGAAACACGAACGGGGCGGGGCGGGGGGGGCTTGGAAAGGGTGGGTTCTTTGTATTCCATGTGAGTGGGCTCAATAAAGTAATACCCTGGGGTGTGAGGTTGGGTGGGGGACAATTAAGGAGTTTTGAGTGAGTGCTCTGAGAAGCCAGGATTCAGGGAACACTGTAATCGGGTCACGACTGTCGCAGTTATAAAGGAGCTGGGCATCTGCTGGTGACGGAAGAGGGGAGCATCTTGCACTTAATATTCACAGAAAGTCTTCCCGTCCCCCGTCAGGACCCTGTCTTCACCTCTCCCCGACCCTCACCCCCACACCTTTCAAATGCTACCAGGCTCCTCCGTGGTCCTGTCTGAAACCCTGAGGATTGTTTCCAAGCTGACTCACACCACTAATGTCAGGGAGCCCTGTCACAGGCGCTGGGCTCTGCAAGC